TTGTTCAAGTTTCAAATTATTTTTTATTAAATCCTTTAAAAAATGATTGTTTCAGATGGCAATATGCAAGCTAACGAAAACGTGGCGAAAAATGTTAAATTACGTACATTGAATTGCGAGTTAAATCCTTTAACTAGAACTGATGGCTCCACTTTGTTCATCCAAGGAGCTACTTGCGTCTTGGCTTCAATGCTAGGACCAGTTGAAGTGAAACTGCAAAATCTAAAAATCGACAAAGCTAATATAGACTGCATCTATAGACCGAAAGCTGGTTTACCAACAATACGTGATAAAATACGCGAAACAATGGTTAAAGATACTTGCGAAGCTGCACTTCTAAGCACATTGCATCCTCGTACGTTAATTTCGATTCAATTGCAGGAACTCGATGATAGAGGAGGCGTAAGTGTAAAAGTGATCATTTCAATTTTCCCATTTATATATGTACAGTTTACATATAGTTAGATGCCTGTGCTATAAATGCGGCTTGCATGGCGTTGCTTATTGGAGGTGTACCTATGAAATTTACCGTAGCTGCTGTTCATTGTGTCATCGATAAAAACGGTGAAATTGTATTGGATCCAGATCAATTACAAGCTACAGATAATCGTGCAAGCTTTACATTTGTGTTTGATTCGGTGGAAAAAGATTTAGTTGCTGTGCATAGCTTTGGCTGTTTTAAAATAAATCAATTCAAAGATGCTCATCTCATATGTCTTGCAGCTAGCAGCACGTTGTTCGATTTTTATCGAGAAGTTATGCATAAATTTCATAACAAAACTAATACACCGTTTAGAGATAACTCCAATGCTGAAAGTGCTGAGCCCATGGAAGCTTAGTAGTTTTGAAATTTTATTTTCTTTTGAATGTTGCCACAATAAAACTACTTTTTTTCTTCGATATTTACGTCGTAACAATTTTGTAAAATGAATTTTTGTACTCCGAGTTATGAATTTATTAGAAACAACAATTGGGAAGTATGTAAGGAATGATTGAAGATTTTTTTTAAAATTCATAAATTTAATTTATAAATTATAAAATTTTTAATACCTTACAAGGTTAATACGCTATAAAGCGACGTTTTTCAGAACGTAAATTCGGTTAAAGTTTATAGCATATGATTTGAATAAATGTACTATATGCTCACAGAGATATTAGGTTACACATTGCGGCTCCACAGGAAGATAAAAAGCAGAATTTTATGTCTTTAGAAAATAAACTAAATGAATTAGAGAATGGGCTCAAGCGGCATCATAATGAAATGCAAAATTTGAAAACTCGATTAGAGCAAAAGTTTGCGAATAAAAATGATGATGATAGAGAAGTGAGTAGGGAAATCAATCTGATAAATAAAAACGAGGCATGCACTTTTGATATTCAACGGGTACCACACACAACCTATAAGCATTGGCTCCTCACAACATTCAATTTCATCGGCAGCATTACGTTTATCCAGACAGATAGTTAACTCGCAGGTTGTAATCATTTTGCGACTTAAGAACTTAGTTAGATTTATATCGATGAACGATGACTCCCATTTGTCATTAGCTGCGCCAAAACAAAACTTTTGAACGTTCATAGAAAAAACAATATCATCTTCAATATATTTAAATATAATATTTTGGCATTCAGCGCTAATGTTATTGACAATTTTCATAGTTAAAGTCGAAAGCATCGTTGCAGATTCATCGTTTTTTGGCGTTGGAGGTGACACAGTTTGTGTACACAGTTTTGTGTACAGGACTACTTCTACAAGACTTGGATTTCCCTGTTTTACCTTTCAAAACAAATTCGATTGTGCTAATACTTATACGTATTGGTTCAGACGTAATTTTTGTCCACGGTATCTGTATATTCAATTCGTGAATGTGACCAGACAAAATTTCAAATGGAAGATGCAATTCTTGCTCCAGTACATCTTACCGCAAATCAATATTTTGAAGCGTAACTTCGCCCTCCCAAAGGGACATTTGAAAATCCTGTGGTCTAACATCTTTCACATATTTATCTAAATAGCTGAGAATGATGGGAGTTAAATACGAGTCAATTCTAAACATTCTGGCTTAGGTGTTTTTTTTTACATATATATATATATATATATACATATGCAGATATGGTATTTATTAATAAAATTTCAAAACATTTTTAATAAAATTATTTTTGACTTTTTAATAATTTTTCCACTTTGTAGAATTTTTAATTTTTTCAATTTTATGTATTTAATCCTAAATGAAATATTACGCATCAAGAAAGAAAAAGCCAACTGTTTACAAGTATTTTTATTTGCTTTTATGGCTACGTGAACTGTTATATTTTTCTAATTAGCAACGTTGTAAAAAACGTAGCAAATATGAATATCTTTAGAGTTGCTTAGTAATAACCGATAAAGCAAACCTAATAGTAACTCATGAAATATCACAGTACATTCCTTAGGCAATTCACTGAAGTAGTTTCGTGTTATTTTTTGCAAGCTAAAAGAAATGCCAGAATTTGATGGAAACTGCGATTTTGGTATAGGAATTTCGTCCCTTACGCAAATTAAACGCTAAATTTATTAATTATATCATATTTTTGAAGATATAGTCAAATATTTTTTCAAACTGCTAGAGGATGATGATCTCTCTTCGGGCATTGCAGCCATTGAAACATTGCTAATGATTCTAGAAAAGAAGCAGTGTGAGTATATCACAAATTATTACGATGGTAACATATCCATACCGTTACTTCTACTTTTACTAACAGTCGATACAATACATATCCTCCAAAATACTATGCAAGAGGCGGTGATGGCTATGCCAAATATTTTCAGCTAAACTGGAAAAGTCGCGAAATTTTACTGCCCAACAAGCTCAGAGGTTCATAAAAGACGGGTGCCGGGTTCTTATTCATTCACGTTCTCTCGTAGTTTAAAAAGCCTTATTAACAGCAGCTAAAGCAAATAAGCAATTCCATGTTTACATAACACAAGATGGTCCCGATAAGATGGGGTTGGTGTGGGAATTTTATTGCAAATAATTGAAATGTAAAAAATTTTCAAACAGGGAACAAATGATGAGTGAAATGGAATCCGCGGCGATTGACTGTACACTCATCCTGGACGAAGCACTAGGTTATGTTATGGAATCTGTTGACTTTGTGATGGAGGGAGACGAAGCTGTAGTCCAAAGTGGTGGAATTGTTAATCGCTTTGGGCACTTTTACTATGGCTTTATGCGCACGTGAAATGAAGAAGCCTTTTTATGTTTTGGCGGAAAGTTTTGAATTTACACGACTTCATCCACTTAATCAAAGCGATTTGCCAGAAGAATACAAGGCAACTAATCAATTCCTATGGACATTAAAATTCTAAACTCGAAAATTTATCTCTTTTTAATCCTTACTAACACCTTAGTATGCTCGCAAAGATATAAATGACGTTTCTAAAGTGCACCCATCCGTCGATTATACTCCACCGGCTTACATTACCTTACTGTTCACAGATTTAGGCATTCTAACGCCATCTGCTGTTAGCGACGAATTAATTAAACTATACATGTAATTAAAAAAAAAAAGAGAATATTTAATTAAATGATTGTTTACCAAGTATATTCTGCACAGTAATTAACAAAGTGATTGTGAGTCAGATGGCAACAAAAATAGAAAAAAGAAGAAAAAAAGAAATATTGAACAATTATATTTAACGATTTGGAGGTAGGTACTAAGATTTGATTATTAAGTTAAACCCAAAGATATTCTAATTTGATTAGCCGGACTTTCATCATAATCAAATTCGGACTCTATGTCATTTTGATCAAGAAACATACTTTCATTAACATTACCGTTTTCATCTTCATCCTGCGAATCAGTCGTATATTCTTCATAATCGACATCGCCATTCGTATTATCGTCGTCGTCGTCGTCCGAATTATCAGCTAATTGATCTAAATCTGCAGCCGCCTTAAGAAGCATAAGAAGAACATATTGATGATAGTTTTCCAATTTCGATATTCAACTTACCGCTTGCCCAAATTGTAAATTAATTTCAATTTGTAATCTAATATCCATGATGAGAAACGCCGTTGTTACTAGTACCGGTATAGCTAGGCGACTCTTCCAAGCTAAATTTGTTAAAAACATGAAAACCTCGCCGAAAGTTGAATTCATTCTGTCATGACCCAATTACACTTCTCCAAGCTTCATTTATGATTTAATACTTTTCGGATGACTGTCGTCTACTCTCTTCCTCCTTTTCAGTAGATTCGTCCTCCAAACGTTGTTGCTGCTCCAGTTGCTCAAATTTTAATATATGAACAGTTTCACCCACTGTTATGGGTTGGATCGGTTGAATTTGTCGATACAAACTTTGTATAGCAGAATTCGAATCCGAAACACGTTCTTCAAGCTCGATCAGCACACCATTACTTGAACTTCGATTAACCTCGCTCCTTAATAAAGAACGCCAACAATCTTCACGCTTTTCTGATAAGGCATCCACTAATTTAGAATCTTTCTTCAATTTTTCCAATTTACGTTCTTGACAGCAAAAGAAATTTTTTTTTAAATATACAATACAAAGTTCGAACTTAACACGTTTCTTTTGGATAACATTCAAAAAATATATTCACCTAAGCTTTGTATGTAATTGTTGGAATCACGCAAATGACATTCGCAATTACCGGTTTGTGGAAAGACCGGACACTGTGCAAAATTGGTGAAATTATCTTCAAATGAATTTTGCGAGTTTTTTGTTGATTTCCTAATTGAATACCAAGGGTCCGTCATTTTACAGAAGCACTTTCATCAACACATGTTTATATTATACACACATCAAATAATATAATGCAATGCTTAGAAATTATGCTCACGAAATGTGATCATTTCACGGTGATTGTCATATTTGAAGAGGAAAGAGCATTTGTTCAAGTTTCAAATTATTTTTTATTAAATCCTTTAAAAAATGAT